AGTACCAGGGGGAGGTAGTGCAAGTGGTGCCGAAGCAGGAGGAAGAATCTGTATAGCCTCAGGTTGCTGTAAATCGAAAACCATTGTCAGAACAGGAAATGCACAAAAAGTAAAAGCAATCATACAATGATATGTAAGATACCTCAGTGAGGGGTGTTAATAGTTGGGATTCGACATTCGTCGATACAGTCTCCGATGGAAGATCCTGAAAATTAAATTTTGAAACCTTGTTACAAATTTTATCGAGACTTAAGAACATAGAAGTTGTATAGAGAAGGAAACTTACGTGACTGGAACGGGTAGCAGGTGTTGTCGTGGGGATGGTATTAGAGTCCGTCGATAGTGGATCAAGAGCAATTGGTCGAACAGATCGAGGACTCTTCGATTTTTGTTTCTGAAAATGGAAGATCGAAAAAAGATAAGTATAAGAATAAGGATCGATCAAACAGAGAAATAAATAGGACAAGACAGAAGTCAAAATGAACCTTCGATTTTTTCGAAGAAGTAGGAATGGTGGCCGAACGTCTGCGTTTTCTGATCAAGGCTGATGGGTCCGATTCACCCGAGGATCCCCAGTCCTCTTGTCCCTTCTCTTGACCTTTCTCGACAGCGGAGACCTTAGTAGATTTCGAAACTGCCAATAAAAGAAGATGGATTAGCTTATAATATACAGAATCAAAAAAGTATAAGAAAGTAGTAAACTCTCACCAAAAGGTGATGGAGTCAAGATCTTAACTCGGTCGATATGTACAAGCCAGGGAGGCAAAAGAGCCTCAGGGAGGTTAAGGTAAGGGAAATAAGATAATTTTGAGACAGAAATATTTTTGTTTATGGGTTTTGGGCGACGTGTTTTCCTAAGGGTTCTCAATTCTCGAACCCATTTTGGATGAGTTAATGGTTTGGCAAGTCCAAAAGGAGCTCGTGGGAAAAGTTGGAAGGCGATTTGGACAATACATTTCAAAAGGAGTTCTACCTAAAGGATTGATTATTTTGTGGTTCGATCGATTAATGTCCGTTTTATTGGATAAGGAGATAACAAGCATCATAATAGGTCGATTCTAATTTCAGTGGGGTGTAACATATTTGATAAAAGTTCTCGAATCGAGATATTTGAAGACAAGTGGAAGTGTGTACCTTTCTTCGATTTTGACTTGTCCTGCAACACAAGAGAAGGTTGAGTAGTCGGCTTCTGCGAACTTCATCAAAAGTAGCATGACTACTCGAGAACCAACCGGCCCACCATTGAGAAAAACCCACAGTAGATAAATAATTCGAATCGAAAGCATAGGGGTAAAAGTGCATCTGGGTTTTAGGTAAAAGCTTGATAAGCTCCCGATTAAGTGAAGATTCAGCTAATTTGGACTTTGGGGATGTATCGAGGGGGAAGAAAGGTAAGGATTGGCTTAGACCAAACCGCCTCGAAAGAAACTGCGGGTAATAAGTAATAAACTTGAAATCCTTAGGCCGAAAACCCGATAATAATATATCATGGGTCAAATAACTACTCCATATGTCGACCAGCTCCAATTGTAACCCAGGAGACGAAGCTGGGAATTTTGACTTAAACCAAACTCGGTCCCCTAAGTTGGCCATTTATTTGTCCAAGATTTACGTAGAACGGGGCCAAGGTCGAATCAAAGGAGGATCTAGTCAACAAAAAGTGGAGGTATTTACAATAGGTAGCCTCATCGATCTTTTGGCGAGGATGGCGGGAGGATAATCGGGCCCTTCTATATTTACACTTGGGGGAATAGTAGAAATCCGAGGAAGGATACTTTCAAATATCGAAATTAACCATAATTGAATAAACCAAACAGGGCCGAAAAATTTCCCGATGCCTTAGGGGTACTCAAAATATCGACAGACTTCGTCGAAAGCAAGTATATACATGTGCTAATAAAGTTTTGGCTAAACAAAGTCTAGGGTGGCCTAGGTGAAGGAGATATGCAAGATTGAACAAATGGGGGAAATTTGGATTGAACGGGGCAAAAAACATGGGTACATAACCAATACACCAAAAATGCTACGTGTTCTTCGTCGAGAATCGCTATCGAGGGTCATCGACAAAGTGTTTCTCAAGAAAATGCCCATAGGCCTTCGACTCCCAATCAATTTTCGACCTCAATGAATTATCCGAGGGATATGCACCCTGAAAATACCTCTCCCCTATGGGTTTCAACCCAGCAATAGCAGCTACCTCGAAAAGGGTGGGCGACACAGTGGCCACAAGGCAACTCCAAAACATGTAGGTCTTGATTCCATAAATGTACTCGCAGATAAGAACATCGCCATGTCCAAATGAGACAGGTCACATCGAGACAGATGCAAAAATCGAAAATACCAGCATTCCTCCAGTTGATCCCCAAACTTAGCCTTGACCCTATCAAACCATCGAATATACAGAGGTTTTTTGGAAGGAGGGCCCGTTCTATACACTTTAGAAGTAAGATTCGAAAAATCAACCCTAACTTCAGTGTTGATGAACCAAAGCCGGACTAGTCGAGAGGTTAAGAGGAGTAAAAATGTCATCGATAGGACTGGAGAGGACCCCCAAAAGCAAAATTTACCCCTTCAACAGTATAAGGAATAAGTACCTGCGTCTCAGCAATCTTACGGGAAGCCTCCTCCATCAAAGGGACTGGAGCGAACTTCTGGTTGTTAATTTCCAGCAGGTTGGAAGGCAACAAGGAAAGAGGTGGAACGGAGAAGTCGAAGACTTGGAGGAAGTGGCCATTTCAAGTAGTGAGTAGGATGAAGAAAAGCAACTGAAAAGATGAAGGTACAGTAGATGAAAGCAAGAGCTCAAGGAAGACGATGAAAGTACGGACTTAGGGTAAAAGTTCGCGTAAAAACCGTAACAAAGACCAAGAGAAAGGTTAAAAGAGAAAATCGCCTAGGGAGCCGGAACGACAGTATACGAAAAGTAATGAATGTAACGTATCGTAAAAGCAACAGATCGATATGATAGCGACGTAAAACTGAAAGGGAAACCTAAAACCCTTTTAACCCTAGAACCCCGTAAAACCTAAACCCTAAGTTCTGTGGGCTTTCAAACATTAAGGCGGAATATTGAAAGAATATAAACTGAAATCATTTATATTCCTTCAAGGGGGCATTTTGTTAGTATGAAATCCAAAAATATGATCAATAAACGAACGAAAGAAATTCGAGGAACGAAATGTATGAAGATCTTTTCGATGATCAATTATAAAGAACGTAGCAAGTACAATCGAAAGGTAGAGTCTGAAAGGTAGGAGTAATAATCGAAAGTTTAACATGGAACCAACCAAGAAATTTGAAGTATATGAAGTTAAGGTTAAAAGGAATCGATGGCAAGTACACAAAGTTCTCGATTAGATCAAAAGCGAAGGGAAGGCTCGTTTACATAGATATCGAAACTCTGCTAAACCTTGAAGGAAAGTAGTCAAAACGCACGCATGGAAAGCAGCTTCTAAGTTATGGAAGAGCCGAAGATCATGAGAACGTGGGGAAACAATAGAAGAAAATCGCCATACGCACGTAGAACGTGGTAACGATCGTGTTAACCGCTCTTGAAAGGCTTGAAAGATGCCCTATAAATAGAGCAAAGAAGGAAGGAACGGGGCAGTAAATTGGCAGAGAACGAATCGAGTAGTGAAAAGTCTACCGAGAAACGACGAACACCATGAAGCTTCCGACAACTGGATTTCCTTGTTCACCGAGTACATTTATCGCTTCGTATTTTTCTTGGTAATTTACTTTTGAGTCATTTCAATTCAGAGAATTTCATATTCTTGTATATTACATTCAATGTCATTTCGATTTCCTGTTATTTACTTTTTGTGCAATCTTAATGGGTTTTAGCAATTTACATTTCCCGCACATTTCGATTTCCTGTTATTTACTTTTTGTGCAATCTTAATGGGTTTTAGCAATTTACATTTCCCGCACATTTCGATTTCCTGTTATTTACTTTTTGTGCAATCTTAATGGGTTTTAGCAATTTACATTTCCCGCACATTTCGATTTCCTGTCCTTTATTTATCTTGCAAACTTAATTTCTTGCAAATTTGGGGTTTTCGCACTTTCTTGCAATTTAGTATTCTCTTTTCTCGATTCGATACTTTATCGCTTTGTTTGAGTCGAGCATTTTAGACATAAATACCAAAAATAGTATTTCTCGATACTTATAGTTTTCGACTCTCATACACATTTTCGATTGAAAATCAAATTGCTAGCCTGAGTAAAAAGAACTTACATGGTAGAATTTCGATTAGGACCAAAACACCCTTAGGATCGAAATCGATCAAAATTCCACCGTAAACAAATAATAATAGTAATTCATAATTAAATAATATTATGCATATTTCCTAACTTATATTTGTTTTTATTTATTTCATTTTGATTTTTTTTTTGTGTGTTCCATAATTATGATATTTATATTAAATAAACTAATAAGTTTTGTATTATTCATAAGTAAGGCTAAAAATATCGAAAACATCATCCTATTATTCACAAATTGATGTTTAACACTTTTAAAATTTATATATATATATATATATATATATAAAAGAATTAGTAAATAAAATACAAAATCTTATGATTAAATATAAAAATTATGGCCCTCATTTAAACCCATTCAAATAAAAGACGCAGAGTCATGCGTGTCCAGTAAAATAATAAAAAATGTTGAATCTTTTCGCTAATATTTTATGCAATTTAATTACTTCTCCCTACTACACTCACAGACATAGTCCAAACAAATAAAAGGTTTCTTTATTATCACGTAAATTATTAAAAATACAAAACAACTCAACTAGCATATTTTAATAATGTATTTCGTAAATGTAAATAATTATTGTAAAAATAAGAATATAATTTTTTAAAATATAGACATCTTTTTAATAAATAAATAATCATTTAACATGAAAAAAAATGAGGTAAAATTAAGATTAAAAAAACATACACACAACTTTATTCGACCAGTTTCTGCAGAGTTCAAATCGAAGACACCTTCTAGTATGAAAATGTTGAAAATCCTACGTCATGCCACACGCAAAAGTGCAAGATTAACACTATTTAATCACCCACCCAAACATATCCTATCCCACGCCACCATATCCTCATCCACTTCACTCAACGCTCACTCTCACTCTCACTCAGTTCCAATGTTGCCACCTGCCGGAACCATCGTATTCAACACCGTGGGAAGAACCCAATACGGTTTCGACGTTTTCTCCGTCGACCTCAACCATCACCATCCTCCGCCTCACGCCGCAACAGATCACCGCCTCACTGACGGCCTTTCAATAAACCTCAACGCGCAATTCATTAACCACCAGAACGACGTCGTCTTCGTCTCCGAAAGAACCGGGTCGCCCCGTTTCTACCTTATCCGACCCGATGATAAACCCCAACCTCTACCCTTTCTCCCCAACGCTCTCTTCCACGATCGCCCAATCATTAGAAACGGAAACCTCTATTTCGCTTCCACGCACGACCAACCTGATGCCGTTTTCACCAGCTGGAGCGCTGTTTACTCCACCGCTGCCGATGACGGCCCCAAAGTCACGAGACTCACCCCGCGCGGCGAGGTGGACTACAGCCCCGCTGTGTCCCTCACCGGGAAATTCCTCGCCGTCGCATCTTACCGCACTCGCCGGTGGCAGACCAACGATTTCCGCGAACTCCAAACGGAGATTGTCGTTTTCCCAGAGTCCGACCCGGGAAACCGAGTCAGGGTGAGCGAACGCGGGGGCTGGCCAACGTGGTCGGGAGATTCAACGATTTTCTTCCACCGAATCGCGGAAGATGGATGGTGGAGCATCTTTCGCGTCAATTTAACCGATTCGGATGATCTAACCGAATTGCAAAACTCTTACTCGCCGATTAGGGTGACGCCGCCGGGATTGCACTGTTTCACTCCGGCAGCTTTCCACGACGGAAAGCGCATCGCCGTCGCAACTCGCCGGAAGGAGAGCGAATTCCGGCACGTCGAGATCTTCGATCTCGAATCGCAAACGTTCCAACGAATTACCGAAGATATAAACCCTAATTTCCACCACTACAACCCGTTCGTCTCGTTCGACTCTCGTCACCTCGGGTACCACCGATTCAGAGGCGAGTCAACTCAGGGCGAGACAAACTACCCGCACCTTGATAAAGTTCTCTCTCCGGTTCACGATTTACAGTTACTCAGACTTAACGGGTCGTTTCCTAGCTTTTCTCCTGACGGCGATTTCATCGCTTTCAACCACAGCTTCGATGCTAACGCTAACGGCGGAGTTAAGATCGTTAGATCAAACGGTTCTAAACGCTGGACTTTACTGAAAGGACGAACGTGCTTCCACAACGTGTGGAGCCCAACGGAGAAGAATGTGATATACACCTCCATCGGTCCAATCTTCGAATCGGTTTCCAAAACGGTTCAAATCGGTCGTATTGAATTCGACCCGGTTCATTTAACAAACGACCGTGAAGAGGTTCCGTATAAGCTAACGATTCTGACGAGAGAGGAGACGGGGAACAACGCGTTTCCGGCGTGCTCCCCTGATGGAAAGAATGTGGTGTTCCGGTCTGGGAGGTCGGGGCATAAGAATTTGTACATAGTTGACGGCGTTGAGGGGGAGTTGAACGGCGGCTTACGGAGGTTGACGGAGGGGGCGTGGATCGATACGATGCCGTGTTGGTCACCGAAAGGGGATTTCATAGCGTTTTCGTCGAACAGGCATGACCCGGATAATAGTGAGGTGTTTGGTATTTATTTGGTGAGGCCCGATGGGAGTGGGTTGCGGAGGGTGGAGGTGGCGAAAGGAGTGGAGGGAGAGAGGGAGAGGTTGAACCACGTGTGTTTCAGCGGCGATGGAGAGTGGCTGCTGTTCACGGCGAACTTGGGAGGCGTGTCGGCGGAGCCCGTGGGGTTGCCAAACCAGTTTCAGCCGTACGGAGACCTGTATGTGGTTAGAGTGGATGGGAGTGAGTTGAGGAGGCTGACGTGTAATGCGTATGAGAATGGAACGCCGACGTGGCACGATGGCGTTTTGGCCCTGTGCAGTGGAGGTGACGGTGGAAGCGACGATTGGGATGAGTTGAAGGGAGAGTTTCAGGAACCGCTTTGGATCACCTGTGACATTTGATTTTGGAGCGGTGATATGGTTGGTACAATCATTTTTATAGCATAAGAGTGTGAAAATAAATTTTTCCTTAATTTTGTTTCCAGTGTTCATCTTCTTTTGTATTGTACTGTAATGTAATGGAATATCATGGTAAATAAATTTAACCCTTTCTGTTAATTTCTAATTGATTTTTAAGAAAACTGTCTATTTTTTTATTATTTTAATGCATGAACAATGTAAAATTCCACCATTATTCATTCAATCTTATTGAGTTGTTATTCTTACATGTCATGACAAGTGACAACAAAGCCAAATAGAAATGTCAATTTGAATCAAACTTTGCACATTTCTCATAAATTACAATATTGAGAGATGAAGATAAATATTTCACCACAATATTTTGTGTTTCTTGAAACCACGATCTTTCGAATAATTACAGTGTGAAATTATAATTAATTCTATAAATAATATATTAAAAAAATATTTTTTAAAATTTATTTATTTAATAAATTTGTTTATTATTAATATACAAAACATAATAAAAAAAATAAATTTATTTTATATAATATAATTATTTTTTGATATATTTAAAATATATTATTTAGAAAATTAATTTAAATTTTGTACAATACAAAACCAATAAAATGACAGATGGGGACATATTCTTAAAAGTCATTTGACTGCTGATCATATTAAATTTAAAAGCTATTAATATTAAAGTAATATAAATAGGTTGAAAGCTATTGATTGATTGATGTTATCTTATTTTATACTATATCTTAAATTGAGAATCACTCCACTAAATAATATATTTAAGAAAAAGATTTAATTAAGATTTTTATTAATTTATTTATTTAAGTAAATTTATTTATTATTTATATATATTTTTATTTATTTTCTCTTTTTATTTTTCTTATTTCTCAAAAAAATATTAATTTATTTATTCAACTAAACTTATTTTTTTCCTTTACCTATTTTTTTATATCTCCATCTCTTATTTTTCTTTCTCATTTTCCATCTATTATTCTAATTAAAACTATATTAAAATTTAATAAAATTATGTTAATATAAAATTTTAAAAATTTATATTAAAACTAAAAAATATAAATTAATTATTTAAAATTATGATGATAATAAATAATTATATTTATTATAATAATAAATAATTTTTTTATGATAATTAAATAATTAATTTTAAATTATTTTATTATAATAAATATTTTTAAGTTAAATATATTTGTTATGTGATAAATTAATTGAATTATGATTTAATTTTAAAAAATATATTCATTAAAACTTAATTTAAAATAAATTGAATTTTTTTAATAATTATAATATAACAATTTATAATATCTCAAAATCATAATATAATTTTTTAAATAATTTATTTTTATAAATAATAAGACTTATTTTATTAAATTTTAATTTAATGTTTTTAATTAAAAGAACTGAATAAATGATAGAAATATTAAAAAGAGAGAAAAAAATATTAAAATAAACCCATAAAAGAAATAACAAGAATAAATAAAAAGAGAAAAAAAATAACTATATTATGTTAAATAAATTTATTTTTTAATATTAAATTTTGTATATAAAAATAAATCGATCTAATTAAATAAATAAATTTATAAAAATTATATTTAAATTATTTTTTATAATATATATGAAATTATTAACAACACTTAGATAAGATACATTTAGTAAATTTCATGAATAATGTTTTGAAAATAAAATAAATAAATAAATATTAAATGTTTTATTTTTAAACGTATTGTATTGTATTGGTTTATATGAAAAACTGGTAATAGTTAGTTTTTACGAGAAATTGATGTATATTAGAATCATGTTGATGAATTTAATTACTATGGTAGCTAGTGGATTTAACATTAATTTTTTTATATGCATTCTAAATATTAAAAAATCACTAATAAAAAAATATTTAAAAAATTTGAAATAACTTGAATTTTAAATATTATTTATTTTGACATTTTAGTTCAAAGAAAGATGTAAAGTGAGAATTGACTAGTTAGGAGACAAGTGGAAGGACAATATTTTAGTTGTTCAATAGCTCAAAAATAAAATTAAGATTTAACTTTCATCACAACGTATATATTTACTTTTGTATTTATATTTTTAATATATATACTTAATTATTATTTTAATAAAATATCTTATTGAAAATTATTATAAAAAAATAATTTAATATATCTTTTATTTATTTGTAATATAACATTATTTTATTAATTTAATTTGTAAATTTAAAAAAATATTTTATCAAAATATATCATTGTAAAAAAATAGATACTAATTTAAAGATATTATATTAAAAAAATATTTTATTAATAAAAAAATTAACAATTATATAGACAGTATTATAATTGAAAAAATATTTTATTTTAATTTAGTTATTTATCATTTTAAAATGAGGAGTTTCCGTTTTTTTGTCTGTTTCTTCTTAAAATAATAAAAATACTTTTTACTCTTTTTTTTTCATTTTCTTCCTCTACAATTTTCTTTTATTGTTACGCAATATACTCTTAAATATAAAATTTATTTAAATATTATAGAATAATTTAATTTTAAGCAATTAGTGTTTGATTTTTTTTTACTTTTACCTTGTAAAAATGAGGGCTAAAATTGATTTGAAATAAAAATGCATTTGTCTTTTACGAAAATAAGACTTTCATTCTTTTAAAATAAAAAAAATCTTATATTTTAAGTAAAAATAATACGTTGGAGAAACATGAGATCACCTTGTCCCCTTTATTAAAACGTGCTTTCTCCTCTCCAACATCAACTACAAAAGGTTCATTTCGTTCAAATTTTTAATTGTCAAAATGGTAATAATTTTGTTATTATGATTTTTTTTACATATTTTTATAAAAAAAACAATCTTTTTTTTCATTAACGATTAAGAGAATATAACAAATAACATATATTTACATATAACTTATATCTCTATATTTCATTAGATCATATCATGAAATATTTAAATAAAATAATTTCATCTCTTTACATATTTTACTTTAATAAAAATGTTTTCTTATAAATGAAAAATATATTGTAATTTTTGTTTATGAAATATTTGAATAAAATAATTTTAAATAAAATCTATTTTTTATATTAATATAATATCTTTTTATAAATAAAAATTATATCTTATTAGTAAATTTATAATAAACATCGTATCAAATATAATTAACAACATACTCATTTAAATATTTAAATCATCTAAATAATAATAAAAAACTGTAAAAACTAAGAAAATAAAGAAACAACTAATAATTATTTATAAACACATGTAACTTTATAAAATGAAATTAGATTACACAAAATAAACAATAATAAAAATAAAATAAATGTATGATAATTAATAATAAAAAATTACAATATTAGTTTCGTTGAAATTCATCATATTTATAAATCAGATATCCAATATCTCAAGCGATAGTATTTTTCTGTGAATTAATGAAATCACCATAAATTTCTAACTGCATTCCTATTTTGCTGTGTGTTGTTGAACAAGAACGTGTAATGCTTCCTTCATCCACCAATGCTCACAAACTTCTCCAGCTTCGTCAACACTCATCTGCATAAAATCAAAATTAACAAAAGAGAATTAGAAATTTTCTAACTCTAATTTCCATTAATTTATTAATATTATTAATAACTGTTGGACATACCCATATTCTTCTCCGAAGATCTTTCTCGGGCCATAGGTCAAGTTGTTGTTTCACAAGCAGAGGAAACATGTGTCCTTCATAGTATGTGCCATGTCTTTTGCTAAGGAAGTTCCATTGCCCCAATTCATGCTGCCATATCAAACAAACCAAATTTTCACTTTTGCCTAAAATTATTTGACCCACTAATTACGAAATCCATTTGACTTTATAAAACAAAATTAAGGGTGTGTTTTAAACAAATTTCTTCATAAACACTTTTTAAGAGAGTAATTAAAATTGAAAAAACTGTCTATAAACTTAAAATTAACGTTAATTTTAATTACTAAAAATTCTATATAATGTATTAATTCAAAGTACCTCAACTATTCCAATAACTCCTGCTTCTTCCAGAGACTCCCTGTAAGCTGCTTCTTCTATTGATTCATCCAGTTCCCATCCTCCCTGAATTAGAAAAATAAAATAAAATAAAATAAATGTTAACCTTTTATTTAAATATAATCTTCCTATTTCAATTCCGTTATTATAATATTATTAAGATTAATTATTATGTATGAGATATTTTCGTCCTTTATTTTTAAAAGGTCATTTTGATGAATTAAAAATATATATTTAAACATATATAATGATCTTATAATTATTTTGTTAAACTTTTGTTTACTATGCTTAATGAACAAAAAATATTCAGTCTCAATTTTTTTTTCTTTTCCTTTTTTACAAAAATCATTAGTAACCCAAATTATCCATGTCTTAAAACATCGATTAATTAAAATGTTCCATACTTACAATCTTAAATGATTAAACTGGTTTTGTTTTAATGTTTTCGTATATTTGGTAGAATAATTGTTTTCTGAATGAAATTGTATTATTTATTACTTGTATATGTGAAAGAAACGACAAAAAAGTACCTTTGGGAACATAAATGTTTGGCCTTTTTGTGAACTAACCACAAGCACCTCCAATTCATCACTCACATTGCCATCAATGTCTTCTTTATATCTGTAAGGTATGCACCTGCACAAGTAGACATCGCAATAAGTTTTAGTCAATCAAAGCTAGAAACAATTAACAACACACAATAAATAAGGGACTAATTAAGCTATGAGTATAAGAAAAACAGAAACCAACAAACGCGTAATATGTGATCAGAAATTGCTTGAGTGCAACTGTCACCAGAGAGACATGCACCAAATAGAATGCAAAAATCCAAAAGCTTAAGCAAATTTATCCAAAAATGTAAACTTTGAGAAAGCATAAGTGCCACTTTCAGCAGTCACCAAATAATTCAACAAGATCGATATACACAAACCCACATGAACATTTTGCAGATTTAACTTTTTTCTGATCTTTGAAATGAGAGTTTCTCCATGCATAGATACCCCCATGATAGATTCCAGATAGAGAAAAAGATAATATAAATATGACATGATATAACATGTTTTTTCTGTGTAATGTAAGTGATATGATAAAGAGAAGGATAAACGAGAAAAAAAGAGTATCATGCAGTCCAAATATACATTAAACCTCTAAACCCTTGTAGAAAAAAACTCTTTTTTTTTTCGCTTTTATTCATAAAAATCACCAGATTTTTTCAAGATTGTGTTTCATTAGATTCCATTTTTCCTTTTCAGGAAAAGAAAAACCTACCAAACAAATGGCAACTTCAAATGAAGTCATGACAAAAGTTTCAGAAAGAAACCCAGAATAAGAAACAGATATCCAAAATAGGAGCTTGAAGTGAGAAGATGAACTCACCCCACAACTTGTCTGGCACCACTACTGTTGTACCTCTGCATCTCCCTTCCCGTTCGAGATACCAAGCAAGCCATCGTTTTCAAACACTTAACTTCAATATTTCCAGTTTCAGAAACCCTAACAAAAAAGGCAAAAGACAGAATGATATAAAATGATAGCTACAAGTAACGTTATATGTATGTATTTTGGGTTGAAGAATTAAGCAATAGGATGAAGGATTAAAGGGTTTATATATATATATGTTAGGTTGCTTGTGGAATCGTTTATAAAGCGCGTAATTGTCGTATATTGAAGTGATTTGACCAATAGAGTATTTATTATTGGGTCGCTGAATTTGGTGCTTGCCGAGTCAATAAGGTGGCCGAAGAAGAAGATTGAAGCCTTAGCTACCAAGTCCATTTACATAATAGAGAGAAAGAGAGAGTCAAAATGACTTAGTTGACTTTTTAGAATGCTACAAGCATTGTAATTTACATGGTTTGTGCATTTCATATCATTTCCTCAAGAACATCTCATTAATTCCATTTTTTTCACTCTTGTTTGGATGCATATTTTAGTGAGGATTTTTCTTCTAAAAATTTGTAATTGCATAATGTGGAACTATTCGACGTGTGAGACTATTCCTTGGATCCAAGATATAGTTAAGTAACTCCTTTCTCAGGTGAGTTTTTTAAAAGAGAATAATTGGTTTTTTTTCAAAAAAAAATAAATAAATCTTGTATCCATTGCTAATTTGCATACATTTTTCAATTAAAATAAATAGAATTACATAAATCATCTCTGGATGTGATTTTTGAAATTATTTATGCATGATATTTTAAAAATTGAACTCCGGTGTAAATAAAAATTGATTTATTACGTTCAAATAAACAAATTTTAGTTAAATTGATATCAAAATTATAAATCTACAAAAATATTGAATTTTTTATGAAATTTGTTTTGATAAAAAAATAAATTTAAAGATCAATTTTTTTAATATTTCTAAAATATCATTTTTTATAATAATATATATAATCATTTTTTTCTTTTTATTTTATATTAGTCACACTAATTTTAAACAATAATTTATTATATTTTAATTATTATTTATCTTTTAAAAATTATCTTTTTTCATTTTTATCATATTTTATATTTATAAATTTATTTAAAATTTATGATGATAATAATAATAATAATAATTTTATGATTTTTATAAAAAATAATTATTAATAATAAATTTATTATATAATAAAAATATTATTTTATTAAATTTAATTAGATTCCAATTAAATTTTTAAACTTTATTAGTAACTCCTACTATTTTAAAAACATATATAACTGACTTAATTATAAAGCTTAATGCTTTGATTTTTATTTAGCAGCTTTAATATCTATCACCTTAACTTTATTTGGTTATAATTTTGGTTTTTAAAGGTGAGTCAAGTAGTTAATTGCATAACTCATGATAAGTTAATATAGTTAACCATTTTTTAATGGAAAAGTGAGTTAAAAATTGGATTATTTCACATTTTAATTAACCTATCCAAATGAATCAGACTATTTTTCTTTTTTCTGGATCTAATTTTGTTTATTTAGATGTAAACAGACTTAAAAGGAATGAAATAAGAAGGAAAGAATATTTTTTTCATGATTTGTTAGACAAGGCAGAGAAATAAGAAAGAGAAAAGTTAATTCGTACGATCACTTTTTAAAATGAAATAGAAAGGAAATAATTCAATTCTTCTATAAGAAGGCATGGCATGTAGAACTGAAGCGAACCTGGCGTGACCGTGAGATACTGTGAAAAACAGAGTATGCTCCGAAACTTTTGGAAACGTTGTTGTCGCCGACATTTGGGTCCCACGTTCCTCTGCTCCTCACCGACTTCGTTGTTTCACAGTGCCGTGGAGGATTCTGATTGGAAATGGAGAATCGAAGGAGAACCCTCGCTTCAGATTTCGCATCCTTGGCCCGAATGGGTCCAACTCATCAAGTGCTTGCTCCGCAAGGGACACTTTCTTCACGAAGAGGGTAACGTGTTTCACAAATCTGATTTGGGCGCCAAAGATTGCAATTTCGTTAGAACCGCTTGCCTCAATTTCGGTAGAGACCACTTTCATATTTTAAGGTAAAGCATATATTAAAAATTAGTCTTCTTTGGATTGAATGTTTCATATAATTTCGTAGAGAGCACTTCGCGTTACGAGTAGTTACGTTTAATACTTAAGAAGAAGAAGGTCTTAGGTTTCGAGGGTTATGGATGAAAAAATGTAGTTGGAAAGGGAAGGTCCACTACAGGTGTCAGCCATGTTCTTCAATAAGAGTAGTTACCGCCAAAGTCTGTGAATACTTTGTACTAATAACATGATTACTCAAAACATACTCAGAACAGAAATTAGTCAGGATGGTGATTATTGTTGGCTCATTCGGTGAGTGATACCTGAGGTTTGCACAAAAAGAAAAAAATAAATAATATATATGATATAATCTTTATTTTAGTTCAGGTGTTTACTTATATATTTTGATTTGTTATGCTTGGGAAAGGTTTGGCGGCGATATTTAGGTTATGCATGCTAGGTGTTTGAGTTTAAAACGAACAGACTGTATTCTGCTTACTTAGTTAACAAATCACGGACCTTGGTCTCTAACCGAGTTTTATGGTACGTCAATTCATGTAGCAGATTTCAACCGGAGGAATAAGGCTTTTGTTTTAACAAATCGGACATTCCTCTGGCTCCTTGTGATCACGCTTTAAACAACCTTCATCACAATGATGTTACTATTTTTTTGGTACATATGAACCTCAGACATTATTGTCATACCCAGTTCTTGAAAATTTCAGCCGGTTCTGACAGCATGTTATTGTTTTTATACTTTATTGGATCTTACAGCTTACAAGGACAGTGACTTAGTTCTGAATCCACTCATATGTGTGTAAGTTCAAGAGGAAAAAGAACATGCAAGGTTAGGATGCTCTGTGGATAAACTTGGTTATTGTTAATAATGCTATGAGGGTGTACTCTTGTGAATGCTGGATTTCCTTCCTCACAGAAACACACAAAAGATGAAGACAAGTAATCATGTAGAAGTAGGTAATGAATTAAATGGATGTCGTAGTTAGTTCTTCTTAATGCAGAAAACTGCATCTCAAAATTGATGTTTTTTATTTTTGTTTTCGAAGGAAGAGAGTGGCAAACATATCATATGGGAATTGATTGTTGAGGAGCACTTCAATATCATCTACAACATCCAAATGAACATGAACCTAGGCATGATTTAAATCTTTTTTGCATTGCATATTTGATGCTAAGGGCAAATTTTCAAAAGGAGTCATATGCTAAGTCTCAAAAAGTTGGTGTAAGTTATGTGAAAAGATCAGAGGCTTTTCGTCGAACCTTGCTAGCTATCATTGAGCATGGTATAATCTTTAAGATAGCTGCAGGTGGAGATCTCATTTCTGGAATTAAGGTTGTAAGTTTTAAAATGTAAGGGAAAAACTAGGCTTTAGTAATAGCATATCTAGTCCAGTGTGGACTTAAGGATTTATGAGTTCCTTGTTAATGGATAAAAGTCAATGAGGTTTTTCTTCCAGTTAATACGGCAATAGTAATTCATGCTCATTATTTTTATTTTTTAATTCCTTCTTGCTGTGATGGAAAAGAATTTTCACAAGAACTTATTTTGCTAGTGACTAACTATACTCAGATTCCTGTCACGAAAAGACATAGAAGTTACCGTGGCACTCGGATGTCCGAGCTTAGATAGGAAAGTGGTCAACTCTGGAAAGCGTCTGAGAGCATATGTGGGTATTGATGAGGGAAATGTAAGTGAAGACTTTGTTTCTACTATCATTTGCTTTTGGTTGTGGTATACTTCACAACTTCCTTTCTTTTCTATCCAAAACATGTTACTTCCTTTAACCAATGACTAGAATTTGTATGGACTGGTGCTTCAATCAGGTATGCAGTTCCTGCAATTTGAGGGGGGACTGTGAAAGGGCATTCGTGAAGGCCCGGGAAGATGAAGGTGGAAGAACAGTAGACGTTATGCGGATTATTTTGACTTATGGGCTTGACCCAATTACTGGTTCAGTGGAAAACAAACCGTGTCTTACCAAAAAGGTAGAAGGTTCTGTGAGAAGACTGTTAAAAGAAATAGTAGAGCACAGTACCAAAGAAGAAATATCTAATTTTCCAGACAGCACAGACGTTGTCATGGGACATGTTCATTCTAATCAGCAAGGGAAGGAAAAAATAGATGTTGCAACGATGAAGCAAGGAGACTGGCTTTGCCCGAAGTAGCTTTGTTTCTGTCTATTAATTATTTATTGTATTAAATCATGTACTAGTTTCTCCAACACTTGTTTATGTTTCCATTTTCATCTTTCATTGGGCAGATGCAATTTCATGAACTTTGCTAGAAACATCAGGTGCTTGCGCTGTGACAGTCTCTTCGAGGAAAGAATCAAGCAATTGAAGCAGGATAACAGTCACTTACCTTTGAAGAAGGGAGACTGGATATGCAATATGTAATGGCTGTTAATATCATGTTGGTTTGTATTGCACTAATTTATAATTTTAAATTAAAATAAATTTTTTATTCCTGCAGATGCAATTTCCTGAATTTTGCAAAGAATACAAGATGTTTGCAATGCAAAGAGAGGCCTTCCAATCGTCACCTTAATCCCGGTGAATGGGAATGTGCCTCGTGGGTTCTTTTTAACCATACTGTTATTTTTTTCTGTTTCTGTGCCAAATGAACAGTCTTGTTTTATTTCCTTGCTATTGAACTCACTGAAATCCTGTTTGTGTAGGTGCAATTACCTTAATTTCAGAAGAAACATGGTTTGCCTGAAATGTGACCATAGACGGCCTATAGTGTCAAGGTCCTCAAACTCTTCCCTTCAACCTCAGCAAGAAGATATAAACAACCATAAGATCGGCAAATTTGCTTTTGGGACACATCAGGGTGATAGAAGTGGTGAAACACCGATGGTGTTTGAAAGAAAGAATAAGAACAGTGATTCACACACGTGGAGATTTGTAGAGGACAGAAGTGAAAATCACAAGCGCTTAAATAAATCAAATAATCCTTC